CTTTCTCATGGACAGATCTGATAACGGACAGGAGACTCCGTATCCGGACAGCAGCTCTATCCCTTGTAGTTGCCGAGATCTGGATGATAAAATACTATTTTTGTTTGCCTTAAAGAAGGTCCCCATGCGTGGGTCAGATTTCAAACAATTCTCGCTTTGTCTTTTTTTTGACGTGTGTTGGTGAATCTCAACTAATCTTCCGTTTCGTAGATCTGGTCGGAAGTCAGTGTTCCCGCACGGGTTTCGTGCGTATTCTGTTGCTATTCAACGCAGGGGTTCTAAGTCATCAATGGGTGAGTTGCACGTGATAACTACAACTCTGCATTTCAAACCACGCGGCACTTGTTTGTTCGAAGGTCAGCTTATTCGACCTTTAAAATATTAACTCCATCCATCGACCGGTTGTTTTCTTATAATTCTTCTCGCGTAAGGTTCGTGAGATCTCCACATTCAACTCGGTCTTCCCGGATGTAAAGTTCACGATGCAGGCCTGTTGCACTTTCTCGAAGAACGTTTCTCGTGTTTGGAGTTTTCACAGTCAGCAACCCTTCTCGTACAAACGCGATTGCATGAGAACAGTATACAATATGATGTGGGGTCCGCTTCAGAATAGTCTATAAGTAGTGATGCGACTGCCTGCAGGGGGAGGACCAGAACATTCTTCTTTCTTTACTAGACTGTTGTGACCCACATTGTCAAAAACAAATTGGAAACTAGGCGCTGGCCGATTGGTTAGAGGACATACTTGTCTTAGTTGGTACCTTTCAGGCTCACTCTCGAGTCGCGCCGCAAGGCGGCTAATAGCATAGGCAGAAGGACTTTATCGACAAAGACATGGGGGACTGGAATTGCTAGTTCTGGAATAATAGCTGGTATCAGCCGGCCACTTGGGTTTGGCGATGACTGGCTGATCGTGGATAATAGGTCAGTGATAGCCATTTACTTTACTTGTACTTGATCCTATTAGCTCATGTTGTTGGATGAATCGGCTTCACGGATGTCACGAATAGCGGCGGCCCATTG